AGTCAAAGATTATAAACATTATAAAGTACTAGCTATTGCTCGCGACTTCGTACGCTTAAAATTAAAAGTTATGAAAGCTTATGGTACTCACAAATAAATAACCTTTCTAATGGTAAAAGAATTCTTAAAATCGGCCTAGTGGTTTTTGAGTTATTTTAATACATACAAAAATCATAGATTATAGTCATATATCATATATGACTATAATCTATGATATCAAGACTATAATTTATATGACTATAATCTATGACTAATCTATGACATCATATATCAAGCATAGATTATAATTAGTACAGATGTCATAAATTAAAAAGCTTAGTATCAAAGAATATTACACGTAACAATATATCTTTAAAAACTTACCTTCCATAAATAAAATATCCGGTTTTACCAAAGCTATATTAGTTAAATCACTTGAATATTTAGATTATAATTAAAGTTAAATAGAAGTTCGTAGTCACGTGAAAGTTTTGCGGTGCGCTGAGCACGGGGCAAGCTTTCTCTGCGGCGCGCGGCAAGATACTGAAAGCTGGAGGTTGTGTAGAGCTTCAGGAGCTTTTGCAGCGACACGTACCCTTGAAAAAACACACCTTAACATTGCAATTATGCACCAACTTAGACCGTATCAATTAATATAGCGCGTTGAATATTTTCTCAAAGTTATACAATTTATTTAAATTAATTTATTTTAGCTTTTATTATTATAATAAAATGTTTAATAATAGTTAAAATACAAAATTTAACATCACTGAAAATTCTATTTTATAACATAGATGCTACGCGCTACGCAAACAATGTCGATTAGTTAAAGCTACAAGCTACGCAGTGTTTAGATGCTACGAATCTACGACTTGAGCTACAAATCTTTGATGTCATATTTTTTAAATAAATCTTTACACCATCAACAACCTGCTTTTAGTTTCATAAAGGAATAGTTGCAGTATTATCCTGTTTTCATTACTTTGGTAGAGCCCGCTTTAACATCTTCGCACGAATGGGTCGGCTCGTCCGGTGAAATACCACACAGAATACAAGCATTAGGCGGACGCAATTCCGCGTTTCATTTGATGAGTGTGGTGCCGAAGGCCCAATTTTTTCCCTTTCCCGTCCCACCTTGTTCTTATATTATATAGAAAGTGAATTTGATGGTGGAGGAGACGCATAGGAAGGGGAAATATCCTCTTTATGTGCGTCTCCTCCTCCGACGATTAAAGGTAGGCAACGCATCCGCTATTGCGAATGTCTATGGGCAGCGTTCGCTTCGCCATTTTGGCGGATTTAGGTGGCCGCTTGCTCGTTAGCCCCTTTTTGTAAAAAAAAAAAACTTTTTAGCTGTTATGAGTTGAAATAGATATGAAGCTTGAACAGTAAGTGCTAGTAATTTAATGCCAGATGTTCGTTAAAAGCATAGGACAAAGAGCCGACTGATGCAAGCGTCTTTTCTCTTGATAGATCGTATAGGGTCGCAAACATTTAAACAGAAGTATGTGCAACTATAAAATGTATGGTCTAATATTTATATTTGTTTTGTAGATATATTATAATTATGATGTTATCTATATTAACATTATAAAGAGGAAATATTTGTATTTTTGTATGTATTGAAATAACTCAAAAAGTACAGGGCCGATTTTAAAAATTATTTCACCGTTAGAAAGGTTATTTATCTGTGACTATTTTTTTTTAAATTTCACGCGGGCGAAGCAACAACTAGTCAACAACAAAATAATAAATTAATTTTTCGATCCTATGTTCTTCTAAAATTATTACTTTTTAAACTTTGCACGGACTGTCGAACTAGATATCGGAAGTTCAAATCCCGTAGTTATATAAGCCCTAGTTTATTTGGAATTAAGAAATATTTAATAAAATGTAATTAAGAAATATTTATTAACGTTCAAAAATTTGCTTTTCAAATGCTATAGTGTCTTAAAAACCTTTTTTTTTTTTCGTTTTATGTTAAATTTCCTAAACAGTATATTGTAGCAACCGTATATGGTTTAGGAAATTTGATACAAACCTTCTGAACCGACTCACTGAGTTTTTTATCTTCATAATTTATGAAAGGAAAAATTATTAAACATCAATCTCATATTTATTATACTTTGATCCCTTCTATGAAAATAATAATACGGTCAGCAACTTCGTACAATAAATTTACGTACTTTTTCTTTTTACCCTCCTATTTGGGGATTGTTGTTCGTGGAATATGACGATCTAAACTCTAAATTCGCTAATGTTTTTGAAGTTAACAGCGTAAGCCCTGAAAATAAACTACCGCACAACTGTTTAGTCTCGCTTTGATTCCTATGAGCGTATATGGAGGTGCGCATACTACTCGATTTTTAGTGCAACTAAACAGTTGAATTCGCTGCGAAACAATCGACAATCGCACAACAGTTGTGCGATAGTTTAGTCAAGGGTGTGCGCTCGTTCTAAATAATTTAGAGAAAAATGGCACAGCAATGCCTGGTGGTCGAAAAACTAGTAAGTTTTTAAGAACATGATCTTTCCATAGTTTTGCATGTAACATAAATGGGCGGGAAAACTAAAACCATCGTCTTTAATCTGATTTTTTGAGTTTTATAACTAAACTATCAAAACCTAATATTGTAAAGAAAAGTGAGATCAAAGATTTCTGTAAACGAGGCGATTAAAGAAATGAGGAAACCTTTCAGTAGCGAAGAAATAATAGAAAGATTAATTCAGGTTATCAAAATGTCGTAGCGAATTTAAAATGATTCTCATTTGATAATTTATCATCATAAAACGTAATTACCTTGATCTTTTTGTAAAAAATGCATAACATTCCTGCTTATTATCTATACCGCCTAAAATTTATATTAGCAAAAAAAACAGTAAGAACTATTGCGCTGAATATATGTCTCTAAGAAGGTATTTGTCCAATTTGTACTCTTTGACGAATTGAACAAAGATTATTTATTACTCGTCAAAATAAGTTGACACATCGACATGCCTTTAAGACAGATTAAAATCCAAATATATTCGATAGTTTTATGTCGAACGATAAACTTTCAATAATAATTGAAAGAAAACAATGCTTTTCAAGTAAATTTTAATTTAAATTGCATGGAAAGTAAATCAATCTCGATCGGATTGCACCTGCAGTCTTTAAACGGTTTTACAAGACGTCCTCATTAAACGCTATTGACACCTAACCGTTAGTTTCCATTGAAGAAACACTTGTACAAAGACATACTATTACTCCGTGTTTTTTTTTAAATATAACAATACGTTTATTGGATAGATATATCTTTTCCTACATTTCCAAAAATGTATCTATCTATTCCTTTTTCTTTCGGTATTTTGGATTACTTAATCTGTTGTCTCCTTTACCTGTAATCCCGTTCGTGGTGAGCAGTGACACCGGAACGTATGCTCGGCACTTCACCCCCTGAAGAAGTGGAAGGGATGGGGGTAAAGGAAGGTTATTTGCGGCTATTTCAATTTACGCCTTATGAAATACTTGTCTTGCGGGGTGTCGATCTCGCGGATACCGCAATATCGGTGAGGCTGCGATGGGCGATTGGAATTTTTGTTGTGTAGCTACCATAGACATAAGCGGAGCGATTTCTTACACACATCAATGTATATTTTATACGTATGTAGATAGATATAGCCTAGGAATTTGGGCTTCTAAATGAAATTGAATTTCACGTTGTTTTAAAAAATGATTTTGCGGAATTCAAAAATTAATTTCTCAACATCATTTTTTTTAAATACAACGCTTTACCTATGTACTTTTCCATAACATGTTCTATGGTCCTACTATTCTCAATAACTAAAGTGAACAAAGGCGGTTCAGTTGTACGTCTTCACCTCTTCTGATACTCATAACTTGCATTACACTGCATTCCGCTCCGCTTATGTGGTAGATCGTAGCTCAAAGCTTCTCACGCGCTTCTCAGCGGCGCGAGGAATGGCGGTCTCAGAGAGCTCAAGGCTTTTAAATTCAGTTCAGGGATCTTCATTGGAAGGACTATTCATTTATTAAACTTTTGTTATATAGATAAACATAAATTGTTAAAAATTAAATTCGTACAACTTGTTACTTTTTAAAACCCTTATTAATTCATCCTTTTTTTAGAGATGGTCTAGATAGAATTAAATCTAATAATTATTTATTTCTTAATTATTTTTTATATTATTATTATTTATATTATTATTATTTACCAATAACTTAACAACATGGTGAATAATTTCAAACTAAATGCAAGCTAAGGTTATATAGAGTTGGTCTGTGAGTGGGTCGTAGTTGGTCGATGTAATCCAACCGCAATCTAACGTTAATTTAACGACCATCTCGGCTTAACAACGTTACAAGACTATTAAAATTACTATCTACACCTGTTGATTGCAGTTCACACAGACACAAAATAGTATACCTAAATGCTACACAAAATTTCATCATTCTCAGTATATATATGTATTATCTATGATTCTGCCCTTTACCTTACATAGAGACACATGTACTACTTACATATTATAATGTACATCACAATTTTTTGTTCCATCATATCTGAATCCAATCTTTCTTCCTTAGCCTAAGCACTAAGCCCTCATTCGCACGGGCGCATTTTTAACGCTTGGCGTTGACGTTTTTTATAACGCTGTCGCCCTTACGAACGCTAAATAATTCTTGTTTCGTTCGCCGAACGCTCAGATGTTCATTAATAGCACGTTAAAAAGCGTCACTTTTTAAAAGCGCTGCCGAATATAGAGGAAAATGAATTTGTTCTATCTCAACGGCGTTTTTGACGTCCGTTAGAAAAGCGCCCGTACGAACGGTGGCTAGAGGTATTAAAACATGCGATTCAAATAAAAATGTGCTGATTTACTACCTCTGACTGTCAAATAGGTATGCTTGGAGAATAAAATTCAGAACGTTATTTCTGTGGTCAAACATTTGACTGCTTTTGACGCAGTCATTTTGACATCAATTTGAGATATGCTACGTATTTCGAATAATAATAAATGTTGTTTTATTTCGTATAGAAAATATAAGATTAATTTAAAGTAAACTAAGCTTATAATTTAGCTTTTTATGTGTAACTTAAATCTAAGTAAAAGGTAACTGAATTTAAGTTTATATTATGTTTTAACTTTTATCCTTACACAATGATTATCAATATAATATTTTTTAAGATAAATTTAAGATGGCCTTTAGAGGAAAATGCACATTCGGCACTAAACCACCTTTGAACAATAATTTAATAAGTGAAATCATATACAGGGAGGTCAAACATTATCGTAATTACAAGTCATATAGACCTAATTTCAGAGGTTAGTCAATATGTTTTAATTTGTTTTTAAGTACCATCTCACTATCATCTTGCCTACCTTTTGAGCTTAGTGACTTCAAAGAGTACGTTTACTGTAAACTATATTTAGTTTTTAAATACTGATAAATGATAATCGCCCGTAATATCTATGATTTATATAAACAAGAGTTCTATACATCTAGCATTCGCTTGTTCCACGAAGGCGATAGAAAATGCTTCAATACAATACCATTCCAACTTTGTCTGTACCCAGTTTCGTTTATAGCTGAAATGTATGCTATCGCGAGACCTCAGCGTACTTCCACCGCAGGAGACACCTGCACTTAGATTCGCTATAAAGTTTGAATATTTTAATACTTCGAAATAATATAAAGTTTTCATTATATCAGCAATACCGTTGGCCAATAAATTCTACGCAGCACACGATTTAAAAGTGAAAGAAACCGAGGATGAGAGACAGAAGGTAGAAGAGTACGCTGATAGGGTAGCTGGCTTAAAAAGAGTACCTCGCAACAGATATCCAGCACCGGTCACATCTAACCATGAGTAAGCTTATCAATACTTCTATATTAATATTATAAAGATGAATGTATTTTTGTATATATTGAAATAACTCAAAAACTAGTGGGATGATTTCAAAAATTCTTTCACCATTAAAAAGCTACGTTATCACTGAGTATAGGCCATACTTTTATTTAAATTAATATTTAAATCTTACTCATATTATAAATGCGAAAGTTTATATGGATGGATGGATTTTTGTTAGAGTTTGTAGCCTAAACGCCTGAACTGATCTCGTTTACATTTGTCACAGAGATAGACGATAGTCTGGAAGAACACATAGGCTTACTTTTGTTTTTTTATTCCACGCGACTGAGTCGCGGGCGATAGCTAGTTATTTAATAATTCAGCCATCAGAATAAGAATAATTGATTATTGTTTTACGAGTAAAATAAACAAGAATAGATATAAAAGAACGATCAATAAAGTAACAATTTTATTACAGATACGGATGGCATATAAAAATACCTTCGGATAGAAACGAAAATTATCGAAAAACAAGCGATAGTATATACCGTAATAATAAGATATACAGATAAAAGATTATTAGTGAGTTTATATTGTAACCATTTCTATGGAAGTTTCTAGTTGAAATTGTACACACAATTCAAGCTGGTGGGAAAATATTCAAAAACGATCCAAATGTCACTCATTTAAGCAAATACAAAACGTAATAAACTTAAACATTTTATTTGTATAATTATAATATTAAGTCTAAATTGATTTTCTAAATAAACTAAAAGAAATAAAACACTGTAAAGAATTACATATATCAGTTTCTTCCACCGCTCGACTTGCTTTAAGCCTTCCTTTGTCTTGGATTTGATGTTAGTATGACCACTTCTATTTTAGTGTGCGGACTTTCTCTCTTCGGTAAAAAGAAACGACGATCGTTGCGATCCATCGGATATAAGGGCTTGGTGTACCAACCGTACCTGACACAAATATATTTCTAAACCTTGTGTTGTAACAACTAATATTATAAAAGTTTATAAAAAAAGCGAAAGTTTAGATGGATGGATGTTTCTTAGAGTTTGTAGCCTAAACGGCTAAACAGATTTCGATGAAATTTGGCATAGTTGTAGACGATAGTATAGAATAACACATAGGCTACTTACTTTTGCTTTTTTTAATCCTACGCGGACGGAGTCGCGGGTAAAGCTACTATTCTGTACTAATATACTAAAACATACTTCTTAGTTATGTAGGATGTCTTGCTGACAATTAATCTTACTAATCTTATTTCTTATTAATATTATAAATGCGAATGTTTAGATGGATGGATGTTTGTAAGAGTTTGTAACCTAAACTGCTGAACGGATTTCAATGAAATTTGGCACAGCATAGCCATTAAGAACACATAAGCTATTTATTTTAATTTTTTTTTAATTCCACGCGGACTAAATCGCGGGCGAAAGCTAGAATCTATCATTGTCTAACCCCTATGTTTCCACACAGGAACAAAAGAGATAACTATATTCCTGACACCCTTGCTTCATATATTTAAGTTTAATGATGCACGGAACGCGTCAAAAGCTAAGTGAATAAAATCAATTCTCACTCATGACTCGTCGTAACAGGCAGAGGGTATTTACTAAGGGGTCCTAAAGATCTTGCCATTCCTACATTCTGGTAGTACTCCTCTATTTTTATACTCTCTTCGCCGGTTGATGCCAACTGGTCATGAGCCGCGTAGAACTTAGAAGCTAAAGGAACACCTATAAAGCACGATATAAACGTTTAGTAGTATTTTTTTAAATGAAAAGCGTGGTAACGAAGGCTATGTTTTTACTATTTTTTAATTCCACGGCGCAAAATCGAGGGCGAAAGTTAGTGAAATACAACCCTGTTAAATTGCATGTAGTAATAATAAACATTTTTAGTGTGGCATAATTTCCGACATTATTTAAAGGCCGCCATCTTTGAAAGTTGGGCATTCGCTCGCTGGCTCTATTAGCGTCAGGTCGTGTCAAAGTGTTCGGTACATTTTGAGGTTGTAATTGTAATTAGTGGTTGAGTTTTTTTGTTCCTCCAAGTTATTGTTGTAAAATTACTTTAAAACAGATAGATTTTGTGTCCAATCAAATTATAAAGTTGTACGCCATCTTGTAATTCTTTTTTTTAATAAAATTCGTTCATAGTTGCTAAAAATACCTTTAAAATTAGGTCGATATGTCTTGTAATTGCGGAAATGTTTAACCTCCCTGTATATAATTTCATTGAGCATGTTAATGTCGAGCGGCGGTCGAGTACCAAATGTACATTTCCCTGTTCCAGCTGCCATTTTAAATTATTAGCTAAACCTGTAAAAAAGAACTGTTAATATTAGACCAACATAACTTCACAGATCTTCAACCTTTTTTATTTAGGATTACCCACGACAACCGCGGCTTGTGGACAGACAGACAAAAAAGAATTAAATGCTGTTTTCGTTATCAACAATGCAAATCTGAATCTTTCTATTGATATTACGAACACAATCCAATTCCTTCCATCCCTTCCCTTACATCCTATATCTACAACATTTTAACGCGTTGTTTACGAAATTATTAACAGCTATTTATTATGTTTACAAAAATCAAAACATCAGCTTACCTAATTGTGAAATTAATAGAAACACTTAAAAAACGATATTGAAACTTATATAAATTATCCCAAATGTTAATATTATTAAGAAATAAAACTATTTCTACTAAATTAATTGCGTAAAGATGAAATAATTTAATCGTACATCGAAACCAAAAATTATAAATTGTTATTTCTACAAAGGATCAAATTTAATTGTCACTTTTTGACATTACGTCAAAACAGTCACATTTAAAAAAAACAACGTAATACAATGGATTTTCCAAGAAATACAAAAAAATATGAAAATGAATATTTTATTGAATTCATATATTAGTTAATAGGTTTATTTTGATTTTAAAAATTAAGTCTAAAAGCTGCTGTTAAAAAAAATAATTATTATACTTTAATAGTGTTTATTTTTTCTTAATACCAACTTTTTGTCAACCCTACAACCATGTCAAGAAATATCGCCATATTTATTTAAGTTTTTTTGAGTGATCGATGTATTTATGTTTTTATCCTTATTTATTAATTTGGCAGAAATTTATAATAATGATTTGTCATAATTTTTAATATTTACCTTTAATAATAATTTTTCGCAGCGTTTATATAAGTTTTACAATTTTTTATAAGCCATTTTATTTTATTTATAACAAGGTATGAACGACTCTTTACATAATTACTTTACTTGAAAAACGAAATGTATTACCATATGTAGATTATTTTCTTATCAGAGATATCCAAAAAGACAATGAAAAATACAATACGACCTTTATGCACCGTATATAACCTTTTTTAAGAGGGGGAATGCGTTACGCATCCCAGGTGCCTTGGGGAAAGACACACAGAGTATGTGGGACTCTTTCCATATTCCTGCCCAAAAGGGAAGGAACGTGGAGCCTACCCAATAAACCCCCTCTGGTTCCCTCGACTTCACCGTTCACCGGGGCATGGGCACATATTAATAGCACCGTATATAACATTAGTTTTTTTTATGACATAAGGTGGCAAACGAGCAAGCGGCCACCTGAAACCGCCAAAATGGCGAAGCGACCGCTGCCCATAGACATCTGCAATTGCACATGCGTTGCCTACCATTATACGACGGAGGAGGAGACGCACATAAAGAGGACATTTCCCCTTCCTATGCATCTCATCCACCGTCAAATCCACTTCCTCTTCCCAACTTCTCCTTATAGGAAAAGGGTGGTAAAGAGAAAGGGACTTAAATTAGTAACAGTAGTAGGACTTAAAGCAGTTAACTTAAGTTAACGTAAGCGAATAAACGAAGTGAGTACTTAGATAAATAATAATATCGATTTTTATAGTTTTAGTCATTAGCTATATATAATGGCTGCTGGTACAGGAAAATGTACATTTGGGAATCGAGCACCAATCGACATTAACATGCTCAATGAAATAATATCCAGGGAAGTCAAACATTTCCGCAATTATAAAACTTATCGACCTAATTTCAAAGGTATTAAACAAATTATTCCATAATTCATCTATAAAACAATTTAACTCTCCGTTTTCAGTTAATGAATGAATAAATGAATATGTATTTATTTCTACAAAAAAGAAATTACATATTAAAAAGTTTAATAAATATATTAAAAGAAAACTCAATGTAACATCTACAGTTTTACAAAATACATTTTCATTTTTTGAAATTTACAGTGAAATTTTGGTGGTATTTTACAGTGGTAGTGCCCGCTTTAACATCTTAGCACGAATGGGCCGGCACGCCCAGTGTAATACCACGACCACACAGAAGACGGGCGTGAAATGGAACCAATTCCGTGTTTCGTCTGATGAGTGTGGTGCCGGAGGCCTAATTTTAGTCACTTTCTCTTTACCACCCTTTTCTCATAAGAAGAGGATGGGAAGAGGAAGTGGATTTAACGGTGGAGGATATGCATAGGAAGAGGAAATATCCTATTTTTGTGCGTCTCCTCCTTCGTCGGATAAGGGCAGGCAACGCATCTGCAATTGCGGATGTCTATGGGCAGCGGTCGCTTCGCCATTTTGGCGGATTGAGGTGGCCACTTGCTCGTTTGCCACCATATGTTATAAAAAAAATTAAAAATACGATTAAAAATGTAATTTTTAAAATGAGTAAATAATTTTCAGCCGTACCAATAGCTTCTAAGTTTTATGCAGCCCATGATAAAATGAAACATAACAAAGAAGAAGATAAAAAAATAGAAGAATATAGAAAAGAAGTAGGGCAAGCAAGAGCCCTGGGACCGCACAGTAAATACTCTTTTCCTGTTACCACCAGCCATGAGTAAGAGAGCATTTAATTGTACCGATTTTTTAGCTTTTAGTAACACTGTTAATAATTTATAGGCAAAGACATTAAATACATTTATAGACAGGACGAAACAACCCAAACTCTAGGTAACATACGACCCCCTATATAACCCCCTATAAGATAACTGATGTTATAAAGAGGAAAGATTCGTTTTTCTATATGTAACGAATAAATTTAGAAACGACTGAACCGGTTTTAAAAATTATTTATCAATACAAAGCCAAATTATCACTTACATAGGATATGTTTATTCGAAATTTTTTAATTTCACGAACGAAGTCAAATGCAAAAGCTAGTGCTACCTAAATTTAAACAATGACTTAACCACTAAGTAAAAAGTTCAGTTAGAGCCTTATGAAATATCATTTTTGCTTTCGCATTGAAAATATTTATAGCCTAGTTAGAATTATGAAAGTCATGGTCTAACGATGCCATAGTTTTCCGACATATATGTGTTTATATTCCTAGTCAGACTATATAGATGTCTACAATATTGATAACTTTAAATTTACTTTGATACAGATACGGTTGGTATTCCAAACCATTGTATGCACTGGACCGAAGTGACCGTCGTTACTACCATCCGACAAGAGAGAGCATACACACTAAAATTGAAGTTATTATACAAATGTCAAATCCAACGAAAAAGAAATGATTTTAACCCAGTTGAGGGAAAGAAAACCTTTTATAGTCTCTTATACTTTTAGTTTATATATACTTTATACTAGTAGAATAAATAGAACTATACAAAATAAAAGATTTAAGTTTATTACGAAGATTTTTATTATACACCATCCGGTCTATGCAATTTATTGCTCTACAGTTTCGCTTGGGTTTTTAAGGGGTGATAAGAAAGTAGTCCTTACTTCTTATTTTGGTCGAGTGAGAGTGTTATCTTACTTCTTTCTAATATAAATGCGAAAGTTTAGATGGATGGATGTTTGTTAGAGTTTGTAGCCTAAACTCCCTATCGGATCTCGATGAAATTTGGCATGGAAGTAGAGGATAGTCTGGAAAAGACATAGGCTATTTATTTCTATTTTTTTAAATACCACGAGGACGGTGTCGCGAGCGAAAGCTAGTAAAAATAAATAAAGGCAGTCTGTACCTGTTTTTCTACATTTGAGCGAAGCAGTGAGCTGACAAAAGTTCATGATGATTTGTCGCTGATTGGTCGCCGCTGACGGAACGAAATACTGAGTTTTAAGCTACATGGGATCTAACAATTTTTAATACAAGTGTGTTTTATGAGTTGTTTTTTTTCGGTATTTTAACTTTTTCTATGTATTTAGAACGAAAATCATTTTTCTTTTTGAAGTTCAATTTCGCTTTTTGACATTGTCACTGATGATTTTTAAATATCTCATTTTATATGAGCTTATTTCGTAATTATCTTTCCTTTTCAATGATATTTTGAAGCGTTTTATAATATTTTTATAATAATTTAATTTGTGATCTATTTATAAAGTTATATTTTTATATTGCAATATATTTTATAAGCAATTTTTATAATATTAGGATACATTTAAAACACGTAAGTAATCCATATGAAATTAAATTAGAAATTAACTACTAGACAGTGCCTGCGGTAGGGTAGGGCGCGGTTGTCGCCGCACAGAGCTCTGGACAGAAAAAGGGCGCCACAAGTCCGCGAATTATACTGTCTAAATAAGCCTATTGGACCCCCTTCCCTCTTTATTCCCACCAGCTCTAATAAAATTTTGCCCAATCTTCTTACGTCCCTAAAACCGTTACAGTTCTTGCTTTGGGTAATATACCTGATTTCATTCAATCACACTTCAAAAATCACCATGTTAACTATTTCTGTCTCTTTCTAGCTTAAAGAAAATCATTGGAACTGTTGTTCACTTCTTCCTTTTTAGCTTGGACATATCAACGTTCTCAAAATGGTCGGAGCATCTGATAAATGTACATTCGGTATCAGAATGCCGATGAACATTAACATGTTAAACGCGATGATATCCAGAGAGGTTAAACATTTTCGCAACTACAAAACATATAGACCTAATTTTGGAGGTACACTGTAATTAATTATTATATTTATTACAATTAGTAAGTTAATAAGTAACAACAATAAAAAAAAAATATTTTATTAGTCAATTTCACAGACCTTCATCTGATAAGTCTAATCTATAGGCGCATGTAGAAAAAAAAATAGCAAATTTACACTAATTGAATAGAGTAATCGGCGCACACCTTTAATTAAACTAACGCACAACGGTTGTGCGATTGTCGACTGTCGATTGTTTCAGAGGCAATTCAACTGTTTAGTTGCACAACTAAAAATTGAGTAGTGTGCGCCCCTCCATATAAGCACATAGGAATCAAAGCGCGACTAAAAAGTTGTACGATAGTTTAATCAAAGGTGGACGCTCTATCTCAGTTAGTTAAAAGACGTCGGTATAACTTCCAGCTCTACCGGTGTCTGGAAAGTTCCATGCCGCTCACGACATGCAGATAGAAACGGACGAGCAAAAGTTAAAGATTGACGATTACTGCCACAAGGTGACGCAGGCCAGAGCAATCGGGCCCCACAGTAGATATTCAGCACCGGTTACCTCGAATCATGAGTTAGTTTATGTACTTCGGTTTGTTTTGGATATAACTTGTCTATGTTGTTTCGTATACCTTTTATTGGTTCGAAGTTATATAATTAATGTTAAGAACGCAAATTACATCAAAAAGAACTTTAATATTATAAATATCAACAAATGAAAAAACTACTTTTGCTATCGATTTTCCATTTTCCAATGGAACATTCTCGATGTCGTTTCGAATATTACACACATCTTTTTGCGAACGTCATTTTCGTTACTCGCCATCAGCTGTCGCTTCGATCGAAAATTCTAGAAACAGTTCGATTTTTTCATGAACATGAATTCCGCTACTCATCAATAAATGACGATGATAGAAATATTAAAACCATGCAAATTATAAAATAGTGGGTTATGACTGTTTACATAGGAACCACATTAATGAAGACAGTTTATTTCAGGTATGGTTGGCATTACAAGCCTTTAGTAAATCTGGATCGCAACGACCGTCGTTTTTACCAACCGATTGCTGAAAGCGATGACACAAAGATTGAAATAATTATCCTAAAATGTAACCCAAAGAAGAAATTAAAAACCTAACAGTTAAAAGACCTTTACCGTAGAGTTACATTGTGACTTGTATAACATTATAGCTGTATCTGTTTAGTAACATTTTATACAAGTATATCGACCGTAAAACCAACTTTTATATATTAAGTTTTATACTTTTGTTTTCTTTTAAGTTTTGTAGTGCTCGTTTACTTATTACTTTTTATTTTAATAAAATTATACATATTTGTTTTAAATCGTTTTAATTAACGGATTTTTTTTTTTTGAAAATGCTGCATTCATCTAAGATGTCTCAGCCCCTTAGAGAAAGATCTTTTTGAACGAAAGCGAAAGAAAGGTTTCCAATGTATTGCTGAGACAATTTTTATCGCTAAAATCAAGTAAATTATTTAAAGAATTATCGTTATTCAGATTGAAAAGTCCTTTCACGTTAAGAAATACAATATTTTATCTATAAACGAAATTAATATCTGTCTAAATTTTGACGTGCGTGACAATGTAATTTTGTACCATTTTTTATAATAATTTTACATACATATACATTTAATAAAAAAAACCCTTTACAAAATACGAAAATAACCCAGGTACATTGTTTCTCGAATCGACATTTATTTACATTTTTAAATATGTTTCAGTTACCTAGTATACGAAATATGAATTGGCACGTCGTGATAAAGAAGAGTCTTTTACACCACGTGCCAACTCAAGCACCTTTTACATTGTTTAGATTTTTTGATGATTTTCAGCTACAATCCATAAGCTTTATATCAAAACATTATCAATAGCCTTACAAACAATGGATCCAGGCAAATGTACTTTCGGTATCCGAATGCCAATTAATATAACCATGTTGAACCAGATCATATACAGGGAAATAAAACATTTTCGCAATTATAAGATTTATAGACCTAACTTTAAAGGTAAAATTTAATCCAATAGCTAGAATTTCTAGTAGTCATAGTGAGTTTTTAAGGTCAACATTTTCTTCCAAAACTCATCATCATCCTTCTTATCCTACTCCCGTAGGATGTAGGTTTCATTATTTATTATTATTGTCTTCAAAAATTGTTTTGTATAAAACCTTTCTGTGGTTTTCGCGCAAAAAGTCCTTAGTGTGCCTCACATCAGATTATACACTGAGTATTGTTATAGCCATTTAAGGAATCCCTTAGTGTAGTTCATAAGAAATATATTTAGGGTATCTTATAAGTGTTAAACAACGATATATTACAGTAAACTATTTTGTTCATAACATCACCACTATAGTACTTCTTCATTGGGACTGTAGACCTTCATTATATTAATATAGTTAATCGTTTCTTACCACACTAACATATACTTTCGAATAGAAAATGATTATTATTATTTCCTTTTCAAAATTACTAGTCCGCTCTCTCGTGTCGGAGGCTAACACCCACTTTGGGTCGCTGCGCCAACGCAGTAAGTAAAGTTACTGGTATCCGTCTGGATGGCTTCTATGTGTAAATAAAATTAAATAAACATATTTTACATATATACTAGATAAATAATTTATGTGCATACAAAAAAAATAGCTAACTAAACTAATTATTATTATTATTATCCAGCAACCCCAATAACATCCAAGTTCTACGCAAAACACGAACAGATAGCGGAAGTGTCTGAGGAGCTGGCCGAGAAAGAAAACAATTACTGCATAAATGTGGGCAAATACAGAGCTAAGGGGCCGCGCAGTAACTACCCCTCGCCAGTTACTGATAATCAGACGTAACTACTTTGAATTTATTTAATTTAACTAGTGGCAATGGTCCTTAATAGACTGATTCCCCTTTACTATAGCAGTTGAATCTACTATGTCAAAATGTATTGGAATTGAGGGGATACGAATTCCTCCTTCTTTACTTTATCGAGGTACCTTAGTTTCTTTATCGAGGGAGCTTGTCACTTGTATAGCCAAGTGACGTCTGTTTGTAGATCTGTCATCATCATCATAATCATCATCATCTTATCCTTATCCTACTCCCGTGGGGTGGGCAGACAGGATTTCGTCCTTCACATAACTCTATCATTATCTCAGTCATCACTCCCTTTTTGATCATGTCACCTTGTGTTGCAATCCATCCCTTTTTATTCTCTCTATGTTTGAAAATCTGTATTAAGTTAAAATCTTACAGAATCGTTGCTCTCTTCTTGCACAATGAAGACGTTGTACAGGAAAAAAATAACATCCCTTACTGCATCAATCACCATTCTCATCCATTATTCGAGAGTAAAGGACTAGACTGATCTCATTCACCAACCAAATCATATTTCAGATACGGATGGTTCAGCGATCCTCTTCTCAAGATAGATCGTAATGATAATCGGCTCTACCACCCGCTCAGAGAGAGTTCTCACACAAAGACTGAAATGCAGATACACAGGTTCAATCCTAGGAAACGACAGACAAAATGATCAAGTATTTTGTTAATACTCTACGCTTGAGTTGGCATCGCAGAATTGTCTGTGACGTGCCGATACAAGCGCTATATACTATGGCAATTTAGTTTGGTTAAAAAAAATATATTTTTAAAGATGTCTGCCATTTATTTATTTCATAAATATTTTTTATAATATTTGTTTTATACTTTTATACATTTATTCTTTACTTTTATTAACACTTATTAAAAGACATATGTAATATTATATTGTTTTAATTACTTAATTAAAAAAGATCATGTTTACGTTTGAAAATGAATTGAACAGATATTTTCCTATTTTTAAGTAAGCTTTATTAATCTTCATTTGTTTTCCTGCCAGCATATTGGTTCCAAGAGCGAGGGAATTTGTTCTTGTAGTCCTCTTTTTCTAAAGGTTGCAAATGCGCAGCTGCAACTCGATCTCTGAAACAATATTTAAAATCAAAATAACGAAGTAATATTTATTCCAGATCAAAATCTAGAGATTTTTAACAAACAAACGTCGTTATATTACTATACGAGTTCGTTATTAAATATAACTATCATATTAGTGATCGAAGCTATTCATTACTTAATCATTCATTTTATTTAGGGGTTCATTGCTTTTCCAGTTTGCAGAATGCCAGCATTGTAAGTGTCATTTACATTGGCGCGATCTCCAATTCTAACCGGAGTATAAGCCGTACGGAGGTTTGCCACTGCCTCCTTCTCTCACTAAATACCGTGTCCTGCCCTCGTCTGCACACCATCAGAGAAATAAGTCCATCGGCAAAGCTACTGTAGCTTAATTGACAAGAACTAACAGAAAACTTTAAGCTTATGTTATACCACTTACGCGAATTCTTCGTAAGTTTTAGCTGTGTGTATAGCGTCACATTTGACGTTATTAACCCGCAGGTACCTCCTGTCCTCCTCCAAACACTCCCGTAGTTGACCCTCCATAGCAGTGAAGTCGTCTGCACTTAGTGGTGTTACCATTGTTCTAATTAATCGAGTAACCACTATTTTAATGGACTTTTACGTTTTAAAGAATCGTAGAATGCACTTTAAAAGATTATCAATACTTCAAAATGTCATCATTGTAACAATTGCGTTTCCATGGTAACACTAAGGTAAATGACTAGTTCACACTTGGCGGAACAGTAAGACAGTACTGCGGATCAAGCCTGGATTTAAAAGTCTCACTGGCGCAGTTAGTGTTCTTTATACCAATTTTGTTATTGAGCGCTACTATTCAAAAATACTGGCCAATTTTGAAGCAGGCAATATATTTGTAGGGGCATCTCTTATTAAGTGCGTACGTAGTCGTTTTATAAGGTTAATTACAAATATGCCGTTAATATTCAAATAAACAAAAATGGCATAACGACCGGTAACTCTTATCAACTCCATGCTAGATGTTGATTAAACAATGCTGTAGAAACAAACCTTGTATTACGAGACTGATTTAAAATGGTCGCTTGCAGTTATTTTATTGTGATTTCTTATAGCATATTTCAAAACTTTCCATACTTTATTACGTTTTTACACCTTTGGAACACATAGTACACATAACTAACATAATAATTGACGGTGCAATGTTTCTTCGATTTAACATTAAAATATTAAACTTGAGACTATTTTAAAGCTACGTTTTATTTAATACTAGCCATTGCTCGCGACTTCGCCTGCGTAAAATTAAATTTAATACAAACAAAGCCTATATTACTCACTGGTAACTTAGCTTTCTAATGGTGAAAGAATTTGAAAACCGCCCAGTAGTTTTTGAGTTATTTTATTAAATACAAATCATTCCTCTTTATAGTAGTATAGCTTACTGGTTAGTCGTTTTGCTGAATTATTAAAGAAAAACACGCTCCAGTCATGGAGACTGGAAGACTATACCACTAGTGCTGTTGTTTATATTATTTGTATAAATTGTAAAAAATATACCAATAACAGTAGTGATGACATTTATAAAGTAGCAATGTTATACAACGACACGTGCTTACGGAAACAAGCAAGGGCTTTACACAACAGTTACTGCACTTATTGTTCTTTACAAAGTAACTTCGTCGAGTGTTCCTTCCTCCCGTACACGTGCCTTACCCTTGCAATGTACACATGTGAGTTATTTGTTATTTCTTACATCACTGCGTGCAAAACGATCCCCTTTAAAATGAATGAATACATACCCCGGGAGAAAATGTATCTATTTTATACTTGCTTTTACCCGCGACTCTGTCAGCGTGTAGTTACAAAAAGTAAGAAGGCTATGATCTTCCAGTCTATGCTCTACATCTGTGCCAAATTGCATTGAGATCCGTTCAGGAGGTTAGGCTACAAAATCTTACAGACATCCATCCATCTAAACTTTCGCATTATTAATATTAGTAAGATATTTTTTAATTTATAAAATAAGGATAACATTAAGATTATTATGAAATCTGATAAGAAGTAAACAATTGTATTAAATTAAGTAAATGTAGTGTTTTTTAGTTTGAATGTTACGTCGTCGTGGGTACTTTTAAAATTAACTTTACTTATTAGTGCCTTAAAATTATATTACAGTTATGTTTACACAGATCTACTTATCATCACGAAATTGGTGAGTTGTTACTCCTACGCGGGCTATGATCTATTCCAAGGCTTCAATGTTGAAGATATCGGCAGACGAGCCAACATAAGTGTAACAACAACATCGATAATTACTGCAAATTCAACAAACGTGAGTTCTTGAAATAAATTATGTTGTTAAGGGACGTTAAATTAATGTTGCCATATTCTCCTTGTTATTCTACACTACATAGTTAATGGGTAATGACGCACTAGCTAGTCGTACTACAGGTCTAACAAGCTGCTGAAATTCAGGCGCCATTTCCTTATAACCTTAAAGTCTACCCTTACAATGTACCTGTTCACATTTATTTAAAATACTATTAAAATAAAACAGTTGTTTGAACATTCAAATTTAAAGGTGAACGGAATGTCAAGAAATGATACAATTAAAAAAACGAACCAAACTAAATGCGTGGAAGAGGAACGACCTGAGAATATTGGTACATTCGAAGTGCCTACACAGAGAGACATAGTAACTATGATGAAAACTATGTTACGTAAATCGTTTACCGCACACCATCAGAAAGTGCTCACTTTAGTCAAAGATATGAAACAGGTAAATTATTTACTAAAACTTCTAACGTTAATCCTAATAATCAATCTGAAGTTATGAAAAATCTTTTTAAGGCAACAAAAGCAGCGAAACTCGTAGAAAACACTTGCGAAATAAATAGTGTGCCGGCATACAAAAAATGTATAGATCAAGTCAGGGCGCAAAGTGATACTGCTATAAAGAATCTATTAGTTGAGGTTGAACATCAAAAGGCAGCTGTAAATTCTGTTACTGAGGTACGTACATATCTTTTAAACACAGACTATTAAATAAATGGAACTTGATTTGATCTTTCAAATTCGATTTTAGGTTAGCATATAAGGTTATTATTTCTCTTATTTCAGGAAAAAATCTGTAGTATATCACTAATGAAATCGGATCCGTTGGAACTCATCGTCACGCTGGCACAAGAAAATGTTTCATTGGATTTTGCGCTACCAGGATTTCTCCGATCGCTTAGTGCTTGCTCATATTACTGCTCACAATAAATACATTGTCATTATTAATTTAATTTGATCTGAAGTACCTTAAAAACATGTAACAAAAAATACAAACATGTCCGATTTTTTTTTGAACAGTCGTATATTTTTTCATTATTAAAGCATTGTTTTTAGGAAATTCAAGTTTTAAAATAATATTTAGAAAAGTTACATTTTGTTTTGAAACATCTTAACTTTTATACAAAAATAAAATGCTGGCTCTACGTCAAATATATCTTTGCCTAGCAGAATTTTAAAAAATATGGTGGAGCTTTCAAAAGATTCACATACCTACCACAAGATGTCACTACGTGGTGTGAACTTTTGACATGAACTTTATACAAAGTTTTTAGTATAACTTAACCAAAATACTTTACATTTTTGTGTAATGAGTGTGTAAATAATATGTGAATATTGTTTAAACTGCAATCAAATTGTAATATAGCTTATGTGATGTTAAAGTAATGTTCAACTTTCAAAGTATGTATCGTGTTTCATCTGATTAATGCATCTATTATAAAAACGAAGAAATTCCTAGGATTATGGTATGTAGAAACTACAAATTTCTTCGTACAATTATATGTTTTTTGCATTTAAACCTTAAGTTATTAATTATTTCTCAAACGAAATTATTTTGCCATTTCTAGGAGAAAGCTTATGCAGAGCCTACTTTCTACTTTAATAGCTTAGCTCAAATTTTTAATCAACACAATCATTTAACTTTTATCATGAGTCAATTAAAAATGTGCTTTAGCTATTAAAGGATAATATAAGTTTTAATATAGTTATCACCTTTTCTTTTCATTTTAGCTTATTTTCTATGAAATTAATAATTAAATTATGATATCCTCTGTATATCTTCCATATTCTTTATGTAAGTCTTTGAAAAAATAAAAGTCTATGTAAGTAATACTATCTTTTGCCCGCAACTTATTCGGTATGGAATTAACAATAACTGATTTAGTACCCTGTGCATTCTTCCACTCAGTGTTCTACAAAACATTTTTAGAACCATCCATACAAACTTTTACATTTTAAGCATATTATATCATTATCATCTCCCCTGCCTTACCCTACTCCTGTAGGGTTGGCGTGCCAGGTTTTCGTCCTCCAAATAACTCATCTGTCATATCAGTCAACCCTCTTCTTCATGATCATGTCACCTTTCACGCAACCCATCCATCTCTTTCTAGGTCTACCTCTACCGGTGTACCACTCCACATTTAAGTATATTATAATGAGATAATATATTATAATAAGATTATGCATTTTGTACACCAAATAGCTATGTATGCCTATGTAACAAATAATAAAATAAAACTAAAAAGGTAAATTTGAGATATCTTGGCCCATCTCCAGTAAAAATTATTTATAAATACTTCAAAATTCATAGTAAACGTAAAGAAACAGCGCTGACATAATATATGTATCGATAAAACACCTTCACATAGCAGTTTAACATGATACTGAGAACTAGTACTAAGGCGAGGCATTCAGCATACAAAATACTTATTAATTATTCATGAATGTCTAAGCAAACAATTGGTATGCAATTATTCACTGTGCAATGACTATCAATGAGCTTAAAGATTTAAAAATTCTGCTATTTCAAAATAGACTCTACTGGTTTGTAACAGTCTAGTATTAAAAAAATATAAGTATAGTTAATAACTTTACAACCAACCAATATTATATTTATATATAGCTCTAGAAGTTAGTGAATAGAGTAATAGATCAGAATACAGTCCAGCATGAAAGTCACTTATGAGACCACCCATGTAGAAATATAAGATTAATTATACAAACCAACATACTTAAATGCCTACAATCTTACTAATAATTTAAATGCGAAAGTTTAGATGGAGGTTTGTAAGAGTTTGTAGCCAAAATGGCTGAATAGATCTCGATGAAATTTGGCTTAGGTGTAGATAGTCTGGAAGAACACATAGGCTAACCACTTTGGTTTTTTAAAATCCTGAGTAAACAGTCGCGGGCAAAAACTAGTTTTACATAATTTGTCAGTTAATATAGTTAATTTGTCTATTTTTCATTAAAAAAATCCCCTTTCACACCCTGTTTGTCGGCTTACCCCTTGTTTAATGAACAGTAATTCACCATGTCATATTTAGTAAGATTGTCTAAGCATTAAGGACCAGTGTAAATTTGAATTATTTAATTGTACATACTACATTGTTCAACTTAAAAAGTTTAAGTAAAATTCTAAGTTAATAACTTAGGGCAGTTGTTGGTACAAAATAATATTGTTACTTTAAACGGTATAAAGTTATCGATGAAATGTGATTAAAGTAGAATTTTATGAATATATGTTTGGACACATGGAATAAACAAGACACAATGCAGTTCATCACATAATTTATTGATTTTAAAAATAGTTGTACAGTCTTTTTTATAAAACAGATTCAATGAACACATTATATCTAATTCGAAATTTGTTTAACTATTTTTTACTCTTCTTGTGTTTCTTTGCTTTTTTTGATTTCTTTTTCTTTTCTTTACTCTTCTTTTTCTCTTTTCCCTTCTTCTTACTTTGCCTCTCAGAATCGCTTGAGTCAGTACTGGATGTGTCCGTGGATGAAGAACTTGTTGAACTGAAATAATTATTAATAACATTTAAAACAAATTAAATTTTCATTTTCATTTCATTCATTTCATTTTCATTCAATTGATTATAAACATGCCATTTATTACTAAAACTTTCTTTAGTGTCTGTCTGATGACAATCAAGCTAGATTTAACACATCAAAATAACACCACTGTGAATGGGAGCCATAAACTTGATGTTAAATATTGTGAATAGAAGAAAATTTAGCTAATATCCTGCTTTAGTCTCATCTTACAAGTTTTCTATTTTCCTACATAATTGTGTGACTAAATTAGCTGTTGTGTATACTTATAAAAACAAAAAAAAATAGTCTCTGAGCCCCTCAGTAGGTACATATCTTTATAAGAATGTATAATGACAAGGATGAGCTACTATTAAAAACTAGAACAAGCACAATTATCATATTAACAATGAATTACCTTGATCTTTTCCTTTTTTTAGTCTTCTTTTTCATATTTTTAAGCTGTTCTAATTTTTTCTTTAATTCCGCTTCCCGTAATGTTTGTAATGGCGTGGCATAATCCTCTTCACTGTCCGTGCTTGTACTACTCACATCTAAAACTATTTCCTTGTTTGGGTCAACCTAGAAAAGAAAAAGTTTGTAAAGAATGTTTAAGGTTAAGTGATACCAAAAAGAAACAAAATCGTGTTAATTAATGAAGCATCCTGATATATAAATTATGTGTTTCATTAATAATATTCGAAAAACTTAACTAATTATTGAAAAACTTACTTTTATAAAGTTTCGACACTGAAAAGTTAAATGACCCGCGTAACCGCATTTCTTGCAAGCAGCTCTTGTGCTATCCTTACCAAATTTGTTTACTAAATCAATATAATTAGACATTGTTTGCAGTCGTATATTATTTAAAGTTTAACTAAAGAAACAAAACTTTGTAACCATTTCAAAGACGAAGACTTTGACGTTTAAAACTTTTAGACGCTGTCATTTTTCACGACAGGTCTGGAACGTTCCATTTTATGACAATTGATTACAACTTTGAAACAAAAAGTTTAACTTTCAGATTTAAGAGTTGTAAATTTATTAAAATTATAAAAATATTACTTTTTTTCGATAAATGTTTTTTTTTGTGTATCAGCCTGATGTAAGAAATACACAACTTTTAGCTATGGCAGAAGCGTAATGTAAAGTTTTATTCTCACTTACAGGTAACAGGTAAAAAAGAGGGACATTTTAAATAGGAGAAATGGTATACGATGGCGGAGTTCCTGCCCCTTTGCGACGTACTGTTCAACGTTATATCTCTAGCCGGCTACTTCTGCGATGTGGTTTTCGACGTGGTCATGGGATATGCTCTTCTCGAGCGTGGTTATAAATGTACGTTTGCGGCTACCATATCTATAGTCGTGACGTCATTGTTAATATCACAGGTACGCTATGTTATGTTTTAAATTATATATTTTGAGAACAAGTATATAAATGAGGGTACGAAAAAATAAGAACCATCCCAGTGGACTTCAGGACTTGACGAAATTTAATTTCAACCTTAGGTGCTGTCTCTCCGTTGGTACTTACACGTGTGGTGGGCGGGGGAGGGGCGCAAGGGCCGGCAGCCCTGGCTGCCCATTATGCTTCACTGCCTGCAGGTGGGAGTGCTGTGGCGATACGCACGTTTACTAGTGCCAGTCGAACTCAGGCGGGTTAAACATCAAGTACGAGATCTTTGTAAGTGAAGTTTAGCAGATAACATAGGTATTACATTTGTTTAGAAATTATATTTGACTTTTGTATTCATACAGGTATGCTTCGGTTGGTGCATGCGTTCTGCGAGGCGGCTCCCATGCTGCTACTGCAGTTGCACATCCTGTTTAAAGACACCAGCCACGAGCCGCTCGGGGAACTTGGCGTAACACCTGAGCCGAGTATAGATGAACCTTCAGGTAAGAGTAGCGCCGAACACAGACAGGTCGATAGGAATTTCTTTATATATAAAATACTGAACATATGGTCATTTTGACCATATGCTGTTTAGTCTACTCTTTGACTTGATATGAGACTTTGATGTGTGTTGCAGCAAACAGAGCGTTTGCTGAATTAAACGTTATATCAGCATCGCTGTCGCTGTTCTCCGTGTGCTGGGCGCTCGCCAGCTTCAGTAAGAACGTTCGGCTGCAGAATGTCCATAGGCTCGTCCTCACCTGGCTCGGTGTTATCTTCCAGGTATAAATTAATCTATTACGTATTCATCCTTATCGTAGGTATAAATTACTGTTTGAATCATTACTTAACACATGGGTATTAAATGATGTTTTGTTCTCAGTTCCTTTGGAGGTTAGGAACCATCTCGGCAAGAATTTGCGCTCTCACCGTGTACGCTCTAGTCTATGAATATTGGGTGTTTTTAGTTATAGGTAAGTAATGCTGCTTAAATAATAGATTGACTTTTCTTGTAATTTTTAATTTGTACTATTGCTATTCGTAAGAACAACTTTTAAGATACCTTTAATGTTAATAATAAATGTGAATGTTTAGATGGATGTATATTAGAGTGTGTAGCTTTAACTGCTGACCAGACGTGAATAAAATTTGGCAGAGGTGTAGATGATAAATCGAAAGAACACACAGGCTAGTTTTTTTTCCCACGAGGACATCGATAAGAATTTATTTATGTATAACTTTCTACTGGACTTATGGTCATTTCGACCATATGATGCTTAGTACTCGAGACTTTAATGCGTGTCGCAGCAAACAGAGCGGAATTAAACTCGTGTTCTATAGATGGAGTTTGAGGTAAAAACTTCAAACCTGCTGTGTGTTGTGTGCAGGTCTGCACTGGGTGTCGATGTTCCTGTGGCTGCTGTCGCCGCGCAACGTGTTCCACGGCGAGCGCATCAGCCGCCCGCGCAAGGCCTACCTCTCCGCGCTCATCGCATTCGTCTACGTCTTCGCGTACATCAACCTGCAGGAACTCAACCATCGACAGAAGATGGTAAGTAACGGACTAGCACAATTGGTAAGCAAGTATTGGGACTGTCGACATTTGATTCGCGCACCTTAAAAGTACAGTCGCGGATATCTGCGGTGTCCCACTTTAGGAAATTGCCTTGTTCATTGAGACAAACTCCGCCTCTTATAAATAACTAATTAGATAGCAGTGAGTTCAAACAAGGGTATAATAAAAAGTAACAAGTAAGTATCACTAATCGACTTTTTTTCGTACACCCACATTTATAAGCTGCGTGGTATTGATTTTTGTTCTGCGTGTAATCAAAATGTTCCAACTATTGTAGCTTTTAAGGTAGAATACCTCCAGTTTCCCCGACTGTAGATGAAAAAAATCTCTCTTAACAGTTACGGTTTAGTAATTGATGTCAATCAAATAAAATTAATGTTACTACTAAGTACGTAGTAGTAAGCATTAAGAGAGAAAGCCTGTGGATTAATATATTTTACCGAGGTAAACGTCCTAACAGTTGACGTTTATCAAAATAGTAATCGTGATTGTCTCAAGTGATACACTGTATTTTATCACGAACAAAGACGTTACTTGGTCACTTGAGAGTCCCTTAGTTCATATTTTTCATATAATTCTAAACAACTATTTGAGACTTAGCAGTAAATAAATGCAAAGAGAGATACGGTAAATGCCTCAGTAGTTGACATGTAGCTTGTACGAAACAGTCGACCTAATTTAGGGTAGGCGCCGCGCCCGTGAGTGGGGACGTATAGTGAGCTGGTGATGATGATGATGATGTATGATGTATGAAATATGCAGGTGATATTTTACTGCGTGATGTGCGTGGAGAACTGGGTGCTGGTGTGCGCGTGGTGGTGGTCGGGGCGCGCCGCCCGCCCCGCGCCCGCCGCCGCAGCCGCCGCCGCCGCCTTCTGCGCCGGCCTCGCCTTCATGCTGCTCTACTACAGGTACACTGCACTCTCCTTCACATCCGCCTCCTCATCCGCCTCTACCCTCGCCTCCACACTTGCCTCAACACTACACAACTCAAGTCACTGCACTAAACTACAACAACAAGAAATATTCCTTCGTTATTGTACTATTTTTTTCTTTTATTTCTATTTTTGCAAAGAAAAATGGATATCGGAGTTTTACAACTTCAATACTTGAACCTCACAGAAACAGTCTCAATATCGAATACATGAAATGTATACCTCAAAATAGACTTGATTTTTCATTAAAGACCACATATTGCCAAGCTTTTATAGTAGAAAAAAAAATCTACCCCTTGCTACACCTCTTGATTTCCAGACCGCCCCCCCACCCCCTACAATGTCATTGACGCCCATAAACATAGATAATATAATATGCTTTGTACAGATATTTCCACGTGCGACGCCTCGGCTACATGCTGGGGGAGAACCGGCAGGGCACCAACAGCACCAACGCATCCAACAACAAGAACGGTATGTTTACATGCATTTATAACTAACTGTTCTCCTGCGGCTTCGTCCGTATATTACAATAATTAAACAACAAAGGCCTTTACCTAACTATTCTAGTAGTATAAACGTAGATAGTACAGTATGAATTAAATTCACCAGGTGATACCTCTACCCCAACAGAGAACGCGGCCATACCCGGCGTCTTCAACTGCCGCTTCTCCAACCCGGTTAATAACAGGTAAGAGGTTATAAACATTGGTAATATGTTTTTTAAGTAATAAATAGCTCTGTTTGATCCGATGTAATTTAAAAAACGTACTTATTCATGTGTTATTCCAGACTATGTCAAATTTCACTGAAATCTGCTCAGTCGTGTAGAAGATATCTACCTTCTAACATACATACATACATCTAAACTATAGCATTCATAATTTTACTAGTAAGATAATCAAAATTGTCAGAATGTGTCACCCATTAACTCATTTCGTTACAAGAGGACGAAAGGAGATACGTCGTAGAATGTATTAGAAGAGGACATATATAGTTAACTGATGTTACATTATAAACATAGTGGTTTAAACGTCTTATAATTTATAGCGCAGCAAACGGTCGTAAGAAAAAGAAGCCGACAACGTTCGTGCCGCCCCCCGCCGCGCCCACCGCTGCA